GCCATAATTTTATTCTCTTTAAATGCTGAATAATATTTCATTGTGTATACATACAAATTTCTTTATCCATTCATCTTTTGTGGGGCATCTAGGTTGCTTCCACAGTTTATTATTGTGAATTGAGCTGCTGAACATTGATGTGGCTGCATTACTATAGTGTGTGAATTTTAAGTCCTTTGGTATAGACTGAGGAGTGGGATAGCTGGCTCAAATGGTGGTTCCATTCCAAGTTTTCTAAGGAATCTCCATACTGCTTTTCAGATTGGTTGCACCAATTTGCAGTCCCACCAGCAATGTATGAATGTGCATTTTTCACCATGTCCTTGCCAACATTTATTGTTGGCTGTATTCTTGATAACCACCATTCTGACTAGCGTGAAATGCAAACTTAGTTTTGATTTTCATTTCTCCAATTACTAGATTGTTCAACATTTTTTCATATATTTGTTGATTGAATACATATCTTCTTCTTTAAAATGTCTGTTCAGCTCCTTAGCCCATTTATTGATTGGGTTGTTTGTTCTTATAGTGTTAAGTCTTATGAATCCTTTTTATATGCTGGAGATTAGTGCTCTATCTGGCATGTGTGTGGCAAAAATTTTTTTCCCAAAATGTAGGGTTTCTGTTTACCTCATTGATTATTTCCTTTGCTGAGAAGAAGCTTTTTAATTTGAGTCCATTCTATTTATTAATATTATGTAAAAATGTGGATGTGTAAACGATGTGATTCTGCAACTTGTATTTGGGGTAAAAATGGAGTTCATAACCCACTTGAATCAAATGTATGAACGATGATATGTCATGAGCTTTGTAATGTTTTGAACAACCAATAAAAATAGATATTCACAGTAACATTATCATACCTTACAAAATAAAACCCAATTATTCTTTAATGTCATCTAAAAAAAAATTTTAAAGAGAGATATGTTTTTCAAATTTTTGAGTGGATGTTTTTGCATACTAATGCCAAAACATGGTACAAAATCAGTCTTCATCATTTTCATTTCTTTTTCTGATAAATACTATTTTAATTTAAATTGGTATCTCAAAAAAATCCCCCAAGTTTTTTAGGGTTATAAAATATACAGTGGGAAAGCTTTGTGGCTCATATGACTACTTATTATTACAGTGCTTTGTTTAGTACTTTAATTACTATAAATTTCTGAAATAAAATGAATACATAACACCTTGTGAAATAATTTTAATTGCTATTTTAAAAYCTTTGTTCTATCCAGAATTATATTTTTATGTCATGTTTTACTAAGTACTGGTAATWATGTGAAGATATGATGAATGTGTATATAAGAAAAGGGAATTTAGATTCAGTGGGGACACCACCTAAAAAATAAACTTAATTCTGAATTTCCAATTCTTTTAAAAAAAAATCTTGATTTTGTTTCTTGTGCTKTAGGAGTCTTGTTAAGGAAGTCGGGGCCTAATCTGACATGATGAAAATTTGGACTATGTTTGCATTGCTGGCCCAGCACACTAACTCAGTCCATAGAAAACTGAGCTTTTTGTAATCCTCAGGAGACCTATACTTCCTTGGGGTTGCCTTGTGACTGGGGATATATTACTATCTTCCTCAACTCAAACAGCATATTCTAATATCTCTCACTTAGCCAATGTTTCATACTCACTTGCATTTAATAATTGTATTCTTCTTGGAAAGCTTCATTTATATTCATTGCCTTTGGTGATACCTACTTGCAGAAATACTGTTTCTATGTTGAGTATAAAAACAGTTTAAGCTTCCCCCCACCCTGTAATGTTCTAGTCTCATTTAAAAAAAATACATCTAAAATATTTTTTGTCTCCTGAACAACCTTCACTGGCTAAGAAATTCCACAGAGACTACTCAGCCTGGCGTATAAGACCTTTCTCATTATAATCTTTACACCCTTTCCAGAACACATCCCATGCTTCCTGAATATCTTCAGTCCTTTGCTATCTCTAGTCACTCCATATTGTTGTCTTCTCTTTAAACTCATCACCTCCTTTGTCAGAGTATTTTAAAGCGCATTTCAAATTTGAATTTATTCAGACATCATCTTCTTGACTGTCCCTCACCAAAAACCACATTGCTCTTTAATTCCATGGGCATATCTTGATACTTCTTGGTGTTATGCTTGTACCTCCTCAGAGCCAAATACTTGTTTTATCATAACCACTCCTYAATCAATGTGCAACATGTAAATGTAATTGGACTGTAAGTGCTTCATTCAGTTTTTCAGTTTTGAGTAGTGACCATTGAAGTGACTTCTCCTAGTTGAGTAAATTTTTTTGCTGCTGCTTTGTTGCTTACACAGGGGCTACATCTGCAAAGCAATTAGCCCAGGCTTGCAATTTAGCTTTTTGTGCTTCTTACCTTCTTTCCAACTATCCTGCAGAATTCACACATGACTCAGTTCTTCCCCTAAAGCCAGCTGACTCCTTGTCAGAATACAGAATTCTAAGGACCCAGATTTTTATTTTATTCATATTTATTTCTCTAAGGAGAGCAAGTGAATCCAGAGAATAACTGTATTGGTTTTAGGTGTGTTATAATCTACAAAAATAAAATGTATGCTCCTATGGATAAGCTTTACTTTTGTATAGATCTTCCATAGAAATAAGCAGATTTTTACTAAATGAACTTAAGATTATTTTTAATTTAGGTATTCATATATTATTTTAAATATAGATACTATATTATTTTGAAACATCACATAACCATTATAGCTGTTGGCTGAAGAGGGTAAGGCCAAAGTTTTGTCATCTAGTATTTAATTGAATTAAGTCTGTATTTAAACATTCTTTAAATTGATCAAATCAAAATGGCTGAACAGGGTAAGGCCATAGTTTTTTCATCTAGTATTTAATTAAATTAAGTCTGTATTTAAACATTCTTTAAATTGATCAAATCAAAACATTAGTAATCTATTGTAAAAAAAAAATTCTAGCCATTTTGTTATTTTACATAATCACATTTCTTTCCATAAAAGTCATATTTCCTTCCTATTAGAGAAAATTTGCATAATGACCTATTTTATCTTTTTTCTACTTATTGGTGAACAGCTGGTATGCCGAACCTAAATTAATAATACAAAGCTAACACACTTTCACATAAGTATAAGTACCAAAATTTGTGATGAAAATTAAAAGATTACTCAATTATAGTGTGTTAGAATTATCTCTGTCTTAAGATTGCTTCCACATTATTCCAATGGGTGTCTGTTCATAAGTTCAATGCAGAAAAGACCAAGTGATTTTCATAATAAAACTTGAGTCATCATTTATGTATTTGAGCTTTCATTCAAATTTGATTCCTTTTTTTCTTCATTTTTCTATAGGTATAATTGCAAGCAAAAAAAATACATATCTTTAAGGTGTACAATGTGGATGTTTTGATGTGCATATGCCTTATGACATGATTATGAAAATCAAAGTCATAAACTTATCTATCAGTACATGTAGTTATTATTTGTGTGTGTCTTAGAATATTCCAAGTATAAAATACAGATTTATGTTTGAACATATACCCATAAAAGTGATTGCTGGATTATATGGTAGCTATATTTTTATTTTTTTCAGAAATCCTCATGCTGCTTCGCATAATGACTMCAGCAATTTATATTCCCATCACAAAAGAGCTCACTTTTGTCCAAATCCCTGCCAACACTTGTTATTATTTGCCTTTTGATAATTATGTTTCTTCATAATATAATATCATGATTTTGATTTCATTTTTATAATAGAGATATTGAATACATTTTTTGCAACTGTTTACCTATTTTTCTGTCATTGCTGAAAATTTTTAATTATTTTTATCTATTAATGTATGTGGTTTCCTTATATATTTTGGATTTAGTCTCAAATGAGATGCATAGTTAAGCAGATACTTTTTTCCCATTCCATAGGTTGCCTTTCTAGTTTGTTGATTGATCCTTTTGGTGTTCCTTTTCTGGAGGGTGGGAGGAAAGTGAGGATTGAACTCAGGGGCACTTTACCCCTGAGCCACATCCCCAGAASTATTTATTTGTTTGTTTGTTTGTTTGTTTGTTTRTTTATTTATTTATTTGAGACAGGATCTTGTTAAGTTACTCGGGGCCTTGGTAAATTGCTGAGGCTGGCATTGAACTTGTGATTCTCCTGCCTCAGCCTCCTTAGCCATTTGGGATTATTGATGTGCAACACTGTGCCCAGTGCTGTTCAGAAGCTTCGTAGTTTGACATAATCCCACACTTGTTTATATTTGCCTTTCTTGCATGCACTGCTCTTGTTATCTCCATAAAATCATTTCTAAGGTCACCTTTAAGGATCTTTCTCCTGGTTTTCTCCTAGGATTTTTATGGTATTGAAACTTCAATTCTAGTATTTAATTTCTTTCAAGTTGATGTTTGTGTATGTTATTAGATAATGGTCCAAGCTCATTCTTTTGATGTGATATCCAGTTTTTCTGACACCATTTATTGAAGAAACCCTGCTTTCCCTATTGTGCATTCTTGGAATGGTTGCTGAAGATTAGTTGAACAAAGCCTGTGCATGCGTTCATTTAAGGGCTTTGTAAAATTGTCAAAAGAGTTAATATGCCCTAATCAATCTGCTAATAAATCATGAAATGATGCGGGTGGTTATGTTTTTTTTCTCTTGATCTATATGTGTATATGAATCCATTTGCTTCAAGTTTCCTAAATTTCAGATGAAGTTATGGTTTGTAAAAGGACTTTTAAAAGTCAGAGGAGGAGATACAGGTTCACGATGGCTTGGAGGGGAGGTGTTGTGCAGACCCTTCCCCTGACTGACTTTTGCCAACCTGTGACCATGGTGGGGCACAGCAGCACTTTCCTCCATCCTAACTCCAAGCTGGAGAAGCGCTTTCCTGTCAGAAAGCTCACCTGATGCCGAGTTTATAGATTAGGAGATCTTGTGAATCTTTAAAACCTTTAAATACAATATTTCCTCTTAGGGAAAACTAAAAAAAAATTAACTAATTCATGTGTCCTTGCCCTACATTGTAGGAGAAGATTTTGAAGATGTACCGGCTCCAAAGACAGTTAAAGGTGAGTTTGTTATGGTTAGTTCATTTGCACAATTTCTCTCAAGGCTGAGATGTTTTGTYTGTATTGTTTTTATTTAAATATTCTTGATCTAGTTCTCAGCTTTTCTAGGCAACATTTACATGGTAGAAAAATGTTTAATAAAAGATTTTAAATATTATTTAGGAAATATGTCTTCTTGCAAATCGAAGGAACTTCTTTACAACTAAGTTTCAGATGTATTTATTGACTAACCTAGGAGAGCATTCCTTCACAGTTTTCCTTTCATAAAGGAGTACAAAATGACTATTTCATCAAGGATGACTTTTTACTAAGAAAATTTGAGATATCATCTCTACTATAGTACTATTATAAAGGATGGAAGGGAAGGAGGAGAGAAAGAATAAAGATGAAGAAGGAAAGGAAAGGATAGGAAAGGAAGGCAGGATTCAAACCCTCTAAACCAGAGAACAGGCACACTGAAAAACTGGCCATTTCCAGACGAAAAGTCTTAATCAGATCTTTCTAGAACAAAATGTCTCCATCTGAGAAGTGAGGGTTTGAGCAAACTTGATGAGTTTTTATTGTTTTCTGAAGGTTTCCTCACTTGCTAGTTTGGACTTGACATAAAATGAGTACTTTCTATTTTACTTCCAACATTTTCTGTGGACAATGAGAGTTTGCTTAAGTGCTCTTCTGCCCATCAAAGTATAAGTGCTGTAGCAATGCCCAGACTTAACTATGTGGAAAGTTCTGTGTTGAGAAATGCACAAGGAAATAAATTGGTACCTAAGTGTTAAGAAATGAAAGCTGAGATTTTTCACTTGTTTTAAGACACTTTTCTGAGGAATTCATGAACTCTTGTTGATGGAAATGTAAATTAACACAGCACTGCCCTATGTTATGGAGATTGCTTTAAAAACTAATAATAGAACTACCATATGTTCTAACAATCCAACTGCTTGAATATATCCAAAGGGCATTAAATCATTATACCAAAATATTACTTGCACTCCCTTATCTATTGCTGCACTATTAATAATAGCTGAAGTAGGGAATAAACCTAGATGCTAATTAGCAGATGAATTAATAAAGAAAATACGGTACATAAACACAATGGAATATTTCTTAACCATGAAGAGGAGTGAAATCCTGTCATTTGTAGCAATGTGAATTGAATTGGAAGTTATGATGTTAAGTGATATTAACTAGACACAGGAAAACCAAATGTTCTCACTCATTGATAGAAACTAAATATTCACTCTTACACAAGAACAGAGTGGAATTGTAGTCACTAGAGACTGGAACGTATTGGAGTGTGGGAGGGGGGATATAAGAAGTTATATGAGGGGGACTGGGGATGTGGCTCAAGCGGTAGCGCGCTCGCCTGGCATGCGTGCGGCCCGGGTTCGATCCTCAGCACCACATACCAACAAAGATGCTGTGTCCGCCGAGAACGAAAAAAAAAATAAATATTAAAAATTCTCTCTCTCTCTCTCCTCTCTCACTCTCTCTTTAAAAAAAAAAGAAGTTATATAAGGGGACTGAGCACCTTTAGCAAAGAAGAATTAGTTTTGATTTTCTATAACACAGTAGGGTAAATAGTGGTTAAAATAATGTAGAATATATTTCAAAATGACTGAAAGAATAAGAAATTCCCAACAAATAAAAATGATTAACATTTGAAAAGATGGAAGTTTTTAGAGCCAGATCCCACCCTTACCATATTATAAGTCTGAGCATCAAAGACCTCTTCACAAGAAACAAATTATTGTCATCCAGTCATCATCCTTAAATGTCCTACATATTGGGGCCAATTTTCTATTTGAGAAATTGACCTAGCCTGCTGCTTCCTCTTCCATTGGTTGTCCTCCCAACTCTGGCTCTTGCCCATTAAATGTTACAAGGAAAGTCTGAATATAACCTGAATAAAATCCTAGAGTGTACTATAAAGAGGAAAAGTAGCTCCTGTTTCTTTCATATTGTGCTCTTGTGTAGACATTCTCAGGATATTTATTCTCATAAATATTCTCATAAATAATATCTGTAAATGTATTAATATTTACTTTCACATTTTTGTATCTTCTAGAAACTGAAGATGTGTCTTCCCCAAAGAAGCAAAAAAGTGAGTTTATAATTAGGTATCAATGATAAAGTCATTCTACGTGAAAGATGCTATGTATAAATTTAAGTTTTAGACCCTTTCAAAGTGAACAGTATTAGAATAAAAAGATTTTTAGCACAGATATGAAGGATAACACTAAAGTAGGTCATTTATATTTCAAAGTGAAGTTTGTCATTTTTTTGTGTGTGTCAGGCAAGAGGCACATAGTTGGGAGAATTACGAATAATGATCGAAGTGGCATTTATAGCCAGCCATTATACACTGTTCTGATCCTGAGTACTCTGGCTGAATCCTGCTAAATATGTGTTACTGTCTGCTGTATAATAGATCAGTTGAAGTGATATGCTGAACTTTTTTATATCAAGTAGAAGAAATGTAGAAATAGGTTTTAACAATTCAATTGCTGGGAAATTCACTTCTAAGACTCAAGGTTCTTATTGATTTTTTTTTAAGATATATGGCAGGATCTTAACATTCAGTTTTTGGGATTCTTGATTTTAGAATTCCATCAACATTCATATGCAGTTGCAAAATTCAGTGTTCAGTTCCTGGGATTATTATTATCCCAGTACCTCCAAATTAGACATTTTTGTTCTGAAAGTAAAGTGGTGTAAGTTTTGAATCTACATATGTATTAAATAAAATCACCACCGGCAGACTAGATGAAGCAATTTTAGAAATGGATATAACTGAAGTTTGATTCACACAATGCTTTAAAAGTAAAGAAATAGACATTATCTGAGAAAATGATGTCATTGAGTTCTTTATTGCCTCTTATATGTATTTCTGGAGGAAATTACTAAGATATGTTTTATAACAGTAAATGCTTCTTACTCTGCATTAATAGTTTATTCACCAAAAAACTATTGAGTGTCTACTATATTCCAAATATTGCTTTAATTGCTGAGACTACTGCAACAGATAAGAAAGATATCAATTATAAAACTTCATATAATTAAGTTGTAAGAAATATAGAAAAATAGTCTTATGATAGTTTTGGGTATTATTAAAAATTCCATAAGGAAAGGAATTATATATCAATCTGCATGTTTCCAATGTATACAGCAAACACTTTTCCAATTGATAACTAGTGATAAGTTACAGCTATGTAACATAGACACTTGAAATCTCTTATTTCATTAATGAATATTAAAACATAATTCAACAGGAGTAGGGGGATTATGTCAATGCCAATTTTCTGGTTGGGATATTATAATACAGTTTTGCAATATACTGCCTTTTGTAGAAACTAGGCAAGCAAATAGTATGTCTTGGTATTATATTTTGCTTATGCATCTAATATTTTCCCAAAATAAAAATTTTAATTAAAAATTAAAAAAAATATTTTTAGTAAATAGCTATCCAATATTCTAAGCTCACTTGGGGAACTTATTACATAAAAAAATAATACTTCCTATTTTCTTCTCACTATGAAGTTTTTCTATATAGCTTGGCATTCATGAGCCTTTTATATAAGCTCTAAATTTGCAACCATAATGATATTTTCATTATTAACTTTTTCCATGTCCATTAAGTAAACAGGTCAGGACAGTGCCTACATTGTGAATAAATGTCTCCATCCCTCTCTGGCCTGTCCAACCCCCCAAACCTCATAACCTCCACACCTGGGGAAGATGAGAGATGTGTTACTTCCTCTGTTTGAGGCTAGAATAAAACAGAAAATAATCCTAGATCAGATGTTGTGGACAGAAGAGAAACTAAACATAAATTTTCTCCAAACTAATTTMATTTCTGAAAACCAAGTGACTGAGGTCACTGCTTCACTGATGGAGTCAGAATAATCCTTGCTGCTTCTCTCAGCTTCCTTCTACCCATGCTTGGCTTTTCCGGTTTCATAAACCTAAGTCTCATATAGATTTGTCTACCTCTCCTAAGTCTCACATGATCACTAACTTTGTTTTTTTTTTTTTTCTTTTACTGGCCCTCTGTAAAAAGTCTGCAAAAAAGTGATTGTTTAGAAGAATGCAAATGGATAGGATGCAAAACAGTGGAGCGAGCATCAGTAGGTGCTCAGGATAGTAGGGAGAGAATTAGCTCTCCATCTTTTAACAAAGCTGTTCCTGGGAATTGAGGCTGAGTGCAGAGCTCACACTGAATCCACTGTACTATTCACCCCTGCTCGTCTTTAATTTTCCTGTGTTGCTTTCTCCTCAGAGCTGTTACCTGGGAGCATTTCCTAAAAGAATAATAAGCTGCCTCAGGAGAGCTCTTTTTAAAATGAAAACTAATGAAAAATTTCAGGACCACTCTCTCTGTGACATAATACACACATGCGCACACCACACACACACACACACACACACACACACACACGCACACGTTATTTAGAATATTGATAAGATCATGTTTTGAAACCTGTTCCTAGGTAACAGTCCCTAGATGGCTATGCACATCAATATACACCAAGTATTTTGATGTTCTTGTGCAAGCTATTTGTATTATGAGTTCCTAAGGCCTTACCAGGAAGGATTTTTAAGTATCTCACCTATGCTGATGCATTTAATTTCCACTTTTATATATGGTTTTTGTTGTCTTGATTTTATGAATGAAGTATCCAAGACACAGAGAGGTTCCATTAGAGGTTTACTTGCCAGTAGCTGTGTGGGTGATCCAACTGTGGAACCTGAGACTGTACCTACAGTGTCATACAACCTCAGTGCTCTAGCTTTATTCCTGCTCATAAATTATGCTTGTTTTAACAGACCACCATGCTTTCTTCCTTAGRTCCCATCAGTTTCTTCCAGTGTGTCTACTTGGATGGGTACAATGGCTATGGATTTCAGTTTCCTGTCACTCCTGCACAACGCCCTGGAGAGAACCCTGGCAAACCAAATTCTCCAGGACAGAAGTAACAGGGACAGTAGAAACACAAACATGACCCTTATAAGTGCTTTAAAATTATGAAAATAGGATCTTCTGTTTTGTTCACAGTGACACAGGCAATGGAAATCATGCAATCCAGTTTTTTTTAACAACATTTTACACTTCTGCCTGGTATAGAGACAGGGTAGTCAAAGGGATTGAATAATAAGCAAACATTTTGAAGGGTCTGGTGATCAAGAATATGTTATTACTGTTTGTTGCTTTGGAGTAGGAGATGCTTATATTTTTCTATTTCCACTCACTGGAAGGTTGCACACAAATTAATTTAAAGTTTACTTCATGCTGGTCTTTTAAATGTGATTGATGCAATTACAAAATGAAAATCCTGATTTCAGTTTGATTTTCATTTTTCAAATAGTAATATAGACTGCATTCTAAGTTTAAAGGGTACAACAGCTTATTTTAAAGTGACTCTTTTGTGTCATGTGGATATCTAAGCTCACTTTACTTAATAAGATGATGCTGAATAGTTTCATTCTGTTCAATCTATTTCTATTTTAGTAGTGTCAATGCTCTAGAATGGATAACACTTGCACCAAAGAGTGYTCCAAGTTCCTAGTGATATTCTTGGAGCTCAAAATGTCTCTGAACTTTAGACATGAAAAGATAAATAACAAATGCTTGGTGAATCTTATCTCTAAGATTAACCATGAACTACAATTAAGATATTCACTCCAGTAGATGTATACCTCCAATTAGGCAGGTCTGCTGAGTTATTTGTTTGAAATATAAGTAAATGTAATGGGGATTTTCAGATTTCTCCACATTGTTTCTTCATGAAATTGTCACCTGGATGAAACTTTAGATCAATGATTAAATATGGGTGACRGATGCAAAATTATTTAATTTCACTTAAATACATTATCTTGGTGAAATTGTCTTTTCTTTTTCAAAATGAAAAAAATATGAGTGCCATCAAAGTTTAAGGGAGACATTTTAACCATAGTTGTCTTCATGAGATATCTTACTTGCTTTCAGGTAATGGGTGATCATTGCTCATGACATGGATGATGATTTTTAACTCTCTTGACATTGTATCACTGGAGATGACTGTTATGGTTTTGTCATCTTCCTAATGATACACATACTCAGGTTCTTACAACATTTTTCTATCAACTCTGAAAGTCGTGTCTCTGCAATCTAATATCATGTTTACAATTGCAAATGAACTTAYGACAAAGTAACTCATTAATAATTTGAGTTATTCTTTCGGGTGTTACAATGATTTTGCAAGGTCTAAGCTAGCCAGAACCTATATAGTCACGTGATTTATTTTCAAGGACTACGACCAACTAAGGTTATTGAGACTCAAGGTATGATCAGTTTTACAAAAATCCTTAGTAATACATTCATTATTAATAATGGATTTTCACAGACTTTTGTGGAAGAAGTTGGTCTTGGCCAGGTAATGGGAGACCCAATATACACCACAAAAGCCAACATTACAATAAACCAGATTAATAGCATCCTTTTTTTGTGGGGAGGGGGTGACCTGGAAGTGTGTAATTTCAGGTCTGACCATCTTTCAAAGCCCCTTTGTATACTGATGTTCATTTATGAGTAGGACAGTAGATAATGTTTATTGTTCAACTGTTCCTCTACCTGTTATAATTACTAGGAAAAGGAATGGGAGAAAATATGATAGCCATCTTATGTCTTATAGCACAGAATGGTTTATCCATTGAATGGCTATCTTTCAATGACTATATATTGAGCAGTTACTCYTTCTATGCTATGTTAGGCACTGAACTTCATAAGAAAAATACAAGGATAATTCTGTTCCTACTGCTATCCTGACATAGTATGTGACCTTAAAAACCACCAAATGGACTKTTTGTTTCTCTCTGTGTAAAATAGGGATATCAAGACACACAGCCTCATATATCACATCACCTCATATCTTACAGAGGTACTATGAAGACTGATACAATATCTTAATATGGATATAATATTTAAGTAAATTTCTGAGTWAATACTTTTGGATATGGAACTGATTTTCTCTCTGAGAGGTTTTCTATATTACATTGTCATTTATTTCACTCTCGTTGTGAAAACTGATAAATATTAAAATGTAGTGTACTTTGTTGAAATTAGAATTAAAATGAACAATTTAAATGTAAACAGCATAATAATTATAAAGGTTTATCTGATTTAAGTTATAATAATAGCACTTTAGATATGTCATCTAAACTGTCATCTGTAGGTTTTCATCAAATAAAAAATACTTTTGATCCTTTCAAGTTTGGTGTCTTACATTTTCAAAGAAAATTATAAATAATCAATTGGGTCTTTTTCTTTAATAGTTTCCTCATAGTTTATGACATATTGGTTTATTGATAGTTTTGTATCATAAATGCTTAAATATGCAAGCATTAATAATTGTTTAATTCATAGTTGCCCAGGAGATATGAGCTACCCTTTCCCCTAGTTACTCCATACCTTCATCCTTTCTTAGTAGTGGAAAGTGTGTGGAAAATAAAAATTAATTACCAAAAGTTATAAACTTTTTTTTCAGTCTTTATAAAGTCTGAAAAATTATCATTSAAATGGGGTAAAGATTTTTTGTAATTAACCCCTTGAAAAGTGCTTCTATGTTGACTCATTCTGGTATATACTTGTCAAAACTTCATAGAAGTACTGACCATGCGTATTTAATGATTCATTTTATTTTTTTTTTTTTGAGTAATTTGGCTGAGACAAAAAAAAAGCTAAGAGAATAACAAATACTGCTGATAGAAAACTCAAAGATCATCTRGTCAACCTGTCATATACAAAAAAAAAATAGAAATATTTCCTACAGAAACTCAAATATTAAGCCAGGCACCTGTAATCCCTGTAGCTTGGGAGGCTGAGGCAGGGGGATTGAGAGTTCAAACCCAGCCTCAGCAAGAGTGAGGTGGTAGGCAACTCAGTGAGACCCTGTCTCTAAATAAAATACAAAATAGAGCTGGGGATGTGGCTCAGTGGTTGAGCACCCCTGAGTTCAATCCCTGGTACCCCCTACCAGAAAAGAAACTCAATTATTTGCTCAAAGTCTCTCAAGTCAAAACAGGCCTACAATTTTAGTTAATTAATTACCAATGCCCTTGACTACTTTCCTCAGGTGTTACTATACCATTAGCTCCTTATTCTAGCATCCCATTCATCTTTCAAACTKTGTTAATTTTTCTACTTGAATATTGAAAAGAACCATAAAAGTACATCTTACTCACTTGCTGTAGATATATAGAAAATGAATCTTGAGAGGTTAGGTGACATTATTAGGGATATCTTGCTTATTAGTTGCAGAACTACATAAACTCAGTATTTTTTTCCTAATCCTGTACATATCCTTCCTGCCCAATGTGACTCCTTATAATTCCTTTACTGTCTTAAGAGCTTCGTTCTATTATTTTTAAGCTTATTAAGACATGGAAACTGAGAACAACTTCCCCTAACTGGCCTCCTTGAGACCTTCTTTGTTCTATCCCTTTTAGAATTTTATCAATATCATCCTGTACTTCCCCCCTTGTTCATATTTTCTATAAAACATTGAAGTGTTGAGAACTACAATAGTGATTCTTGATTTCTAATACCACTGCATTTGACTCTAAGCCATGTGCCCTTCTCAGTATCATCAAATTCCTTATCTATGCTCTTTATTGAATTTGTAGCAAGAACTAATTACTTGCATTAAGTCATTGTGGCAATTTTTGCTTTTTTACTCACCACATCCAAAACATTCTTCAACAGCTTAATAACAGGTTGGTATACTAGTCCATGCTTCTGAGTACATCTGCCAGACAGCTGTGTTTTGAGAACCAGTGTGCTGTGGTGGAGAGCCCACTGGGCAAATAGCCCTCAAACCTGAGGTTAGACTCCTGCTAGAAGTAACACTGATCATTTATCTTMATTGAKCTTCATTTCTTATCTCTAAGTAAAAATAAATGCTCCTATGCTACAATGACTTTCATCTTTGTTGAGGTAAGTACCATGTATAGAGAATTTGCTGATAGGACCTTTGAGTTTTGTTATTAAGTAATCCAAATGTACCCTGAACCGAGGACCTCCTGTTACTACGTGGTATGAACCAGAGCAGCAAGTAAAAATCAGAACTTCATAGGCATGAATAAAAATGGGAACATGGCCATTGGCAAAACAATTCCTCTTTTATAAAAATATTTCAATGCTTTGTGACATTTTTGTGGAGCTTTTATAAATCAGTGATAACAGAATATCCTTCAACCCACTGAATGAAAAGCTGAGATGGAACAGTGATTCACATACACCAACACACTGTCATAAAATTCAGTATTCATTAAAAGGTCTAAAGGTGTTCCAGAAATGTGTGAGCAAATGATGCACTGAAATAAATACTAACTATAGCATCTGCAAACATTAAAACCTTTAGCATATATCTTTTGTTCAGGAAAGGGGCATTGCATTCTGTCTGCTTATCTCTTATACACACACACACACACACACACACACACACACACACACAAACACATCCACACACACAACTCGTTGAGAAAGTACTTACATGTATTAAATGTAAACATGGATGCAATTGATCTGATCTGAATGGAAGATTTATTCTCTACAAATGATGTAATATTTTCTATAAGAGGAAGGGAAAGCTATGAATTTCAGCAATTTTGAGAAACAATGAAGCAAACAAACATATTATTTTCCTCTTTGGAACATGTATGTATAAAAGAATATTTTAAAATTGGAAATGTATGAACCTTGTTCAAAATCACAATGGTATATACATGGAGGGTATCCTTTCACCTCAGTTCCCTGCCCACTCCACTACATTCTACAGCAAATCACAGTTATAATCTTATGTATCTATTCTCTGCAAATACAAATAAAAAGAAATACATATTTTTATTACACAGATATTACATATTATAGACATCATTTGATACTTTCCCTTATTAAATGTATTCTGAATTATTTTTATACCAGTATGTACAGGTCTTATTCATTAATGTAGCTAGATACAGATGTGGGTGGACCTTATACTCACAGTGCAGTACATATGTTTCAAGTACAGAACTATATGCATTTATGAGATCATGACCTGGATCAAAATACAGAACATTAAAAGACCTCCAAAGCTTCAGTCATAGCTCAGCCAGTAAATGGCTCCTGTTATCACTAGTCTGATTTCTATCATTGAAGAATTATTTTAAGCTTTTTGACCATTATATGAATGAAATTGTAAATTGCCTAGTTTTGGTGCTAGATGTTTTTCTCAAAATTGCATAAGTGAGACATATTCACTTTGTTGTATGTACAAGTAATTTACTCTTTTTATTGCTTCATAGTATCCATGTATGTTTATACTGAGGAATTTATTTTACAATCTATCATATGAGGGAATTTTAGACTGTCTCCAGTTTTTTCTATTAAAAATATCATGCTGTTAACACTCTTTTTAGTGTCTTATACTGTATATATGTGTGCATGGGCAGGGGGGCATTATATACAAGAGGTAGAATTTCTGGCTTGGGGAGTAGAAGAATGTTTAGCAGATAATACTGACAATTTTCTAACTGGTTGTACCAATTTAAGCTCTATCAAGAAAGGATAAAGCCCCAGTTGCTCTAGATCATTGCCAACATTTATTATAATCTATTTTGCAATCCAGAAGGCATTCAATTCATGCATATCTTGTAAATTAGAATTCAAAGCTTATTTTTCCCCATGAACATAGAGACAACACAGCAATTTTTAATCCTGACAATTCTTTTCCACTGTGTTGTGGAAATGTCTTCATTGTAACAGAAATGTATATGTGTGAGTTTCCACCTTCATATTAATTAAAGTAGACTTCCAAGTCAAAGTCAATCAAAAGGGATAAAGAAGGACATTTCATACTGCCCAAGTGAAACTTATATCAACAAGACATAACAATTTAAATATATATGCTCCCCAAAATGGAACATCTACCTTCATCAAACAAACTGTTCCCAAGTTCAAGAGTGAAATAGACCACAACACCATAATTCTGGGTGACTTTAACACACCTCTTTCACTACTGGATRGATCTTCCAAACAAAAGCTGAAAAACAAAACTATAGAACTCAATAAAATAACTGATAAATTATACTTAACTGACATATATAGAATATTTTATCCATCAACTAGAGAATACACTTTCTTCTCAGCAGCACATGAATCCTTCCCTACAATAGACCATGTATCATGCCATAAACCAACTCTTTGCAAATACAAAAAAGTAGAGATACTAACCTGCATTCTATCACACAATAATGCAATGAAATTAGAAATCAATGATAAAATAAAAAGTAAAAGCTACTTCAACAACTGGAGAATAAATAATATGCTGTTGAATKAACAACAGGTTGCAAAATACATTGAATAAGACATTGAAAAATTCTTAGAGGTAATGAGAACACTGATAGAACATATTGAAATATTTGGGACACTATGAAGGCAGTACTAAGAGGAAAGTTCATTCYTTAAAAGAAGAAAAAAACCCAACAAATATGTGACCCAACATTACATCTCAAAGCCCTAGGGGGAAAAAAGAAAAGAACAAATCAACACCAAAAGCAGTAGAAAACAGGAATAATTCAAATCAGAGTGGAAATCAATGAAAGTGAAACAAAAGAAACAATTGAAAAAATTGACAAACAAAAACTTGGTTCTTTGGAAAAATAAATAAAATTTACAAACCCTTATCCATGCTAACAAAGAGAAGAAAACAGAAAACTCAAATTACTAACCTCCATGAGCGAAAAGGAAATATCATGACAGACACTACATAAATACAGAAGATAATTAGAAATTATTTTGATAATTTGTACTCCAATAAAATAGGAAATATAGAAGGCAACCATAAATTTCT